ATAAAAATCATGGAACTGCTTTGGAACCCATTTCAATAATGTCTGAAGATGCTTGTATTTTTTTTTCTGATATTGGATTATTATCATCCCTTACAGTTTGTATTTCCTCAGGAAATACGACTCTCCTTCCAGTTCGAATTAAATTGACTGCCTGAAATTCCTTTTCTTGAAAATTAGTTTTATAATACAGTGTTTCATACTTTTCTGCCCTTATTTGTAAATATACCATTTTTGATATTGAGACATCCATGCCATCCACATTTTTTTTTCTAGACAAAAATGGAGACGTGATGTTGCTATATAATTGTTTAAAATCCTTGAAATCACTTGTCTCCATATTAATCACCTCGAACGGATTAGTTATGCTACACATTCTGGCTAATTGTTGCCAGTCCCAGGGAGACATTATTTGAAAAATAGCACTCTTCTTTTTTTCGCGTTCAATTAATGAATGGCAAGCATTAACTTCTAAGTGAGTATGACCACGCAATAAGAATTTATGTGTAATTGTTTTCAAAGTTGGAATTTTTTTTAATATATAAAAATAAGCCATAACCATAACCATGTTTCGATTTTGAGATGGACAGTTATCAGACCATATAATAATTTCTTTTTGGTGAGGTTTAACATGTGATAATGCCCACTTTAGCAATCCTGATGCCATTTCATTTGCACCGCGTCCTGATTTGGACTCGTCCCACATCAAACAAGCATTATTAGTGGCATCATAAATTGTGTAATTATACGTCCAAAGTTTTAAAGAGTAAAAGCTTTGCGCGTTAGTTAACACTGGTGTTGGGAGGCATTTTTGTAAATCGACGCATATCATAATTGTTGTAGAATTTTGTTGTTTTGTGCATAGTTTATCTTCTTTCTTTAAAGAGTATCTTCTTGTTGCTTCCTCCAAATGTTCATTATATTTGGCTTGTAGAGATTCCTTTTCAACATCATTCTGTTCTTCACGTAGCTTCACTAAAAATAAGTCACATTGATCGCAAGTATCATTATCTGGAGACTTGAAGGAGTAATTGAACTCTGTGTTAAAAATGTAACTATACAACCACTCTTTGGTAATCAGATTTTCATGTGTATTTTTTTCTTCACACTGTACTTTATAAAGTCTATACATTTTTGCAATAGTAAGGTGACTTCCCAGGTATTTTCTGCTCGATCTCTCCCGCGAATAATGTGATTGTTCAACAGGGAATTTCATAATATGATCACGAACTTCTTGTTTCACAACTTCACGAAACTTAACATGATTTTCATGCTTCCACCTTTTATCCACAGCAATTATATCCCCTGCTTGTTTTTTCTCCAAAGATGTGGTCACAAAAGTTTGTGAAATATGCAGAGTGTTAACAAAAAATATTTTGCACACACGTACCATGGAATTATTTTTATCAAAATAATACTGTCGTGTGTGAGTTCTAGAATCCTTTCTTGCACCAGTTCTACATCTTTTTCTAAACGTTTGTACCAATTGGATATGCGATGATATAAACTGACGTTTATGGTTTATGTCTTTGGATGCATCCCAAAAAGCAGCATTAATGTTTCTCCTTTCTTGCTCAGAAATTTTTTCATTGCATTTTAATCGGCACACCAAACTACACGGTGGTTTTATTAATTTTTCAGGTATAAGTTTCGTCTTGGATGTGTGTTCTAGTCCGGCAACAACTTTTTTGTGTTGTTTACTTATTTTCCAATTCTCTATTTGTCTTTGTCTTTTCCTGCCTATTCGTTTTGCATTTATCGTCTCATTCATTCTATCAGAGTCTGCAGAACAATCGCTCTCGCTGTCATAGTTGGGGTCCGCTGTACTATCGTCAGTGTCTTCTTCAAATTCTGTTTCCCCCTTATAAGTGTTACCCTTTCCTTCCACTAATTGTTCTTCATTTTATGTGAAGCTAGGCAGAGTAAATCGTGATTGACCTACAAATATTTCAGAATTAATTAGGTTATATATTTATATATTATATATATTATAAATATTTTAACTCCCATTTTTACCTTCGAAATCGATTGCTGGTAAATTCTCCTTTTCTGCAGTATGTTCGTTAAAATCATCTTCCTCACATCCTTCAGGTGCTTTGCCAAATTTCATGCTGTTGACTGTATCAACATAGCTGGTGCTAGGAGCGAATAGTAGTTCCGTTACAATTTCAGCTTTTTCCATATTGCTATTTATTGAGTTTATTACTTCTATTCCTTAACCACGTCTATCCTAACGTCTGTTCCTACAAACAGTCAAACTCAAACTATTAGTCAGAAATCGTCGGTAAAGATGTGCAAACAGTTGGACAGTGAGAAAACATTAATACAGTCATTAGTGCTATCACCTCTACTCGCGCTGGTCGACTATTCACCGTTCTAACCGTTTTTTCCCTTGGCCGCTTGTTGGAACGTAGGGACTTAACACAGTGTTGCATATTAATGTGAGAGGAAAGTATGGACTTAATTTCAACTTAAAAATAAACTTGGACATAATATTGTCATTACCAAAAATGCTAAACTAAAGAGTGTACTATTACATTTGGTATTCTTTTCTCCCAGAAGACACAAGGACTTAATATCGTTTAAAATTAGCTATCTCTGTTATTATTTGAGATAGGGCTTAGATTTTAGTAGCATATGAAAGAGGACTTAATTCTAAGTCAATTTCATTGATAATCCCGTTTTGCTTAAAATTGGACTTAATACATTTTTATTCTGAGGTACAGATATTGATCGAAGCTCTAAAAGACATTGGCTTGGACGGCAGAGATGTTCGAATAATTGCAAATTTATATTGGAATCAAACAACATCAGTTTTTAGTAGATAATGTGGAATCACAAGCTCTCAATATTAAAAGAGGAGTACGGCGGGGATGCCTCTTGTCACCCCTGCTTTTTAACGTTTACTCCGAAAGAATTTTCAGCAAAGCACTTTCTGAAAAACAAGAAGGAATACTTGTGAACGGCGAAGTCATCAATAATTTGCGATATGCGGACGATACAGTACTCCTAGCTTCTAGTCAAGAAGATCTGCAAACACTACTGGATAGTGTCGTTGAGAGTTGTAGGGAGGCAGGTCTGGATCTTAACATAAGGAAAAGCAAAATACTCGTAATAAGTAAACAACAGAATATAAAACCGTCTATATACGTAAATAATACCAAACTTGAGCAAGTTGATAAAATCGTCTACCTTGGACAGCAATTAAATTGTAATTCAGAAAATCAGGGCGAAATTAGATCCAGAATAGAGCAGGCTAGAGCTGCTTTTAGAAGGATGTCCAAGGTGTTATGTAACAGAGACCTAAAATTGGCATTAAGGATCCGCCTACTTCGCTGCTACGTTTTCTCAATCTTACTTTATGCTGTCGAGTCCTGGACTGTGAATAAAATCGATCTAAATCGCCTTGAGGCTTTCGAAATGTGGTGCTATAGAAGAATTTTAAAAGTTTCCTGGGTGCAGAAGATTCGTAACTCCACATTACTAGAACGTCTCAGCAAGACTACTGAGATCATAAAAAGCATCAAGCAGAGAAAGCTGGAATATTTCGGACATGTAATGAGAGGTCCCAAATGTAGATTGATACAAAATATCATGCAAGGAAAAATAGCAGGCAAACGCAGTCCAGGACGAAGAAGAACCTCATGGTTAAAGAACTTGCGAGACTGGTGTGGTGTAGATACAAGCCTGCTATTTAGGATGGCAGTGGATAAAATTAAAATAGCTATGATGGTAACCAACGTTCTGAAAGGACATGGTACATGAAGAAGAAGATTATTTCTCAAGTAAATATCTCCAGTACTTTTGACGGGTTATGTATTAGATTACATTATAAAAATAATAAATGAACATCAGAGATCGAAAGTCGGAATATCTAGAACCTAACGTAATAAATTAAATTTTAGAATTAGTTTTAAATATTGTAAACTAAACGGGGTCTGGCGTGATCGTCACATTACTATGACAAACAAAAAGAGACTCGTTTCAACTCTGGTCTTTTCCATATTTTACTATGCATGCGAGACATGGACAGTCAAAGAATCAGATCGACGACGTATAGACGCCTTTGAAATGTGGACATGGAGACGCCTGCTTCGAATTCCATGGACGGCTCGCCGTACAAATATCTCGGTTCTGGATGAAATTAAACCGGATCAACGTCTCTCCAGTACCGTTTACTCTAGAATTTTAAAGTTCTTTGGCCATATCCATCGAAGTGATCACAAAATGGAGCGGTTGGTGGTCCAAGGAAGGCCTCAGACTCAACGCCAACGCGGAAGATCTCCACAGCGATGGGCGGACATTACTAAAAAGCTTCTCAATAAACAGTATACTGAGGCAATACATATAACTGATGACCGCGACCAGTGGAGAAATATTATCAATCAAACTGTCCGAGCTGCTGAAGCCCAATTATGAACCACAACACATCTACTAAGATGTTAATGACTGTGATGATGATTGTAAACTAAGAAAATACAGGATTCTTCTTTTTAGGGTGCCTGTCCGTTCCAAACGTTGGCGATCATTCTGGCTATGATGACTTTGTTGGTTTCTATACTAAATAGCTGTGTTAAGGTCTTTCTATACCATGCTCTCAGGTTAGCAAATCAGGATATTCTTCTTCGTTCTGTGGCTCTCCTTCCTTCAATTTTACCTTCAAAATGCGTTGCAGTAGCTCGCGTCTTTCTTTATTTCTCGTTATATGCCCCAAGTACTGAAGCTTACGGCTCTTCATGATTGGTGACTTTATCTGTCCATCGTATCTAAATACAGGATAGTTTCAAAACTAATCAAATTTTTTGAAAAAAAAAAAAAGAAATCCGAAGAAACCGAGTGACTTATACAATAAACAATAATGACAAATTATTTAAATCGTAGCGATAAAACATATATTAATAACACTTTGTTGCTGAGATACTTCCAATGATATGGACAAATCATATCTTTATGTAATTTTATAGTTTATTTTATCGTTTATTTATTTAATATTAATAACTTACTGTATGTTGGTATAAAAGCAAATTCCAATAAATTTCCAAAAAATATATTTGGCTTCGGTCCTGGAACATTCCTCATGTATTTTGTGTTTCTCCGAGATAGCTGATAAAAGTAAAACGCAGTAAATAGAACAATAATGATTCCAAGTCCAATCATTGCTAACAGTGATCTAAAAAATATTTTTTTATATTAAAAAAAAACAAAAAATATATTAAGAATGACTATACAGTCGGTATAGACAAGGCGAGAAGCTAGAGTTCGTTCGGAAAAATATTCAGGAAAAATATGAAATTTTTTTTAGATCACTTTCATTAAATATCCCAAAATAAGAACCAATAGGTCATTCAGGCGAAAAGTTGTTCAAATTTTTTCAAAGTTTTTTTTTAATAAATTGAAATAAATAATTTATTTTAGCCCGGAAATGTTTTTTAAATTATTTGAATTATTCTAAACAAACTAGTTAACATCTTGTACTTTTTCTGTAAACTTGATCGTTTTCGAGTTAAAAACAAAAGCAAAACATATAATTTTTGAATTTAAGAAGAATATAAATTCAAGTTCAAACCTTTTTCTATCATTTCCCAGTAAGTATTTTGGGCTTATTTTTTTTAAACATTGATTTTAATCATTAATGAAGCAGTTATAACCGGACAAGCGCTCGGGCTTCGGCGTATATAAGAGAGATAGCCAAGATCTATGGCACACATTTTATGTCGGTAAAGTTATCATATCCATTTTATAAGGCCGAATTTAAATCAGTACTATAATTTATTGTTAATTTATTACGAAAAGAAAAAAATATTGCTGTATCCTTTTCCGACAAACAATGGTTATGCTAATTTTACGGTAAAGCTAGCATAGCCATATTTATATCTTGGCAAGGAAGAGGGCTACAGCGTTCATTTTGGCGGAATTTTTATTGCTGTTGATCATTACAATATTCACTAGCGAAAAACTTGATATATTGGACAAAAACGTTGAAACCAAAAAAGTGAGCCACTAGGAATTAATTATTAATTTACTGGTAAAATTTTATAAATTTTTGGTAAAAGTCTTTCAGCTACAACGTGACGAACTAAGGCTCTTGAATTCTGGTAACGAATATAAAAAAATATAAATTTTCCTTGACGACGGGGGATTTAAAGACATTCCAAAAATGCACAGCAATAATAAAATCTCATTGCCCAGATATGGCTACGGCTACGTAGTTTTGCCATAAAGTTAGCATAGACATTGTTTCTCAGAAACGGTTTCAGCAATAAATTGTTTCCTGGCGTAAAACTTCAGAGGTAAATTAGCAATTGATTCCTTGCTTTCCAGTTTTCTAGTTTCATCGTTTTTGGCTGATATCTCGATTTTTCCGAGTGCGAGTTTTCTGCTAGGGGATGATGATGTAGGATGATGTAGGGTTTGAAGATTGGTCAATGTATTAATTAAGAGCAATAAATTGGCAATAAAATATGCCGCCAAGATGGTCCTTGTAGCTCTTTTTTTTCCGAGATATAGCTATGACTATGCTAGCTGTACCATAAAGTTAGCATAACCATTGTTTCTCGGAAAGCAATACAGCAATAAATTATACTCTTGGTCTGAATTCGGCCTTATAAAATAGATATCCTAACTATACCGACCTACAAATTTTTGTTGGTTTGAACTGCTAAACAACAAGAACAAAGTGTAGAACAAAAATGGAGTCATATCAAAGATGTCATTCAAAATGCTGGAGAAGCACATCAGGAAAATAAAATAAGAGTAAAAAATAAAGAATGGATAACTGATGACATTCTGCAGATGAAAAAGACGGACGCAAAGAAATACCAAGAAATCAACCAAAAAATTAAAAAAGAAATACGAAGAGCCAAGGAGACATGTAGAAAAATATAAACTAATCAAAGAGCTTCAAGTAAAACAAGATCATAAAAATATCCACCGAAAGATTCGCGAAGTCAGTAGTCAATACAAGAGGAGAAATACATATAAAAGACGGGAACCTGGCGACGATAGTTAAGGAAAAGTTGGTACCTGGAAAATATACATTGAAGAACTTTTCTGTGACTACCGATATAACCTTTCACAAATAAATTGCATGCCAGGGCCGTCAATACTAGAAAGGGAGGTAAAAGAAGTTTTAAAACAGTCTAAGAATGGTAAGGCCACAGGTCCGGACGAAATAACCATTGAACTTATTAAGGTAATGAGGGAACTGAGCAAAAAGGAGTAAACTGAACTGTTTGATGCCATATACGATTCAGGTAAAACTGAAAAATTGCGAAAACGTATGAAGATTTTCAACTACCAGCCTTATAAGTCATCCACTTAAGATTTTTTTTTTAAATCATACATGCCAGAATTTACAAGAAATGCAAAGAAAATGTCGGTGAAATGCAATTTGAATTCCGCAATTCTATGGAAACACGTAAAGCACTTTTCACCTTACAAGTCCTACTTCAGAGATGCCACGATGTCAGTTGTGATATCTATATTTGTTTTATTGACTGCGCCAAGGCATTTGACCGTTGTTAGCACCAAAAGATGTTAGCCGCCCTACAAAGAGTAGGATTGGATGAGTAGGACATTCGAATCATCACAAATTTATACTGGAACCAACGTGCTCAAGTCAAGGTCGAAGACCAGGTAACAGACCAATTAAAGATCATGCGAGGAGTAAGGCAAGGCTGTGTGCTCTCGCCGACTCTTTTCAATATATACTCTGAGGAAATTTTTTCTAAAGCCCTCACAAACGTAACGTAAGCGTAACGTACGGACTAGACCTTAATATTAAGAAAACTAAATTCATGGTTGTCAGCCGTGCAAATTTAGATCCCGTGGCACTAATGGTAGGTAGCAAAGAGATCCAAAGAGTCGACAGATTCACTTACCTCGGATCTACCCAGAGATTAGATCCAGAATTGAAATGGACTCCAATTGAAAATTCATTGGAAAATTTGTACTTAAATTCAGAACCTCCTGAGGGTAGAAAATAGGCACAGCCAGGCCCTTCTATTGATTTAGATGCGTCCTTGTATATAACTGTGGCATCACTATAACAGTTCAAAACAGATCTCAGAATATTGTTTGTTCAATTTGTTGTTGTCACTATATGTGGGTATTTAAACTTCAATTTTATGGAAGAGCGCAAAGAAATCTAAATTTTTGTCCACTTTGGCCAAATTCTTTGAGAAAATAGAATTGTTCTGTAAAGCAGTGCACAAAGGTGGAGATGGCTTTTTAATCCAACTATAAATAGTAGCACCATAATCTATAATGGATTGTATATAAGCTGTGTAAAATAATAAAGATGTTTCAACATCGCAACTTTAGTTGTCATTCTAAGAAAATTACTACCTTTGTTGCATCTATCCAGCATATATTGTATGTGTTGTTGCCAAATCAATTTTTCATCCAGTATAAGGCCCAGGTATTTGACATGGTTTTTAAATAATTAAAGTAAAAGATTCATTATTAAGAAGTATATTTTGATTTAGAGAAAGGTTATGTCTTGTAAAGACAGATACTGCTGATTTGGCAATTGATAAATTTAAGCCGTTTTTTAAGTACCATGGGAAAAGAGAACTACATACTCTGCTTAGGTTTTGCATACTATTTTCATATTTCTTACTTTCTGTATGGACACAAAAGTCATCTGCATATTGTATTATTTTAAATGGGATGTTGTTTATTTGCATATTATATATGTTAGAGGTATTGAATAAAATATTGAATAAAATTGGCGATAATATCGAGCCTTGTTGTATGCCGTAATAGTTGTGTCAAGGTCCTATTAATTTGTTAGTATGGTTTTTGACGTAGATTACCCTGTCTGTATAGAAACCGATAATTGTGCTAACGACAGCAATTGGCAAATAAAAGAAATTTACAATTTTAAATTTCCATTCTTTTTTCTTCTAAATTTCTTCTTCTTTAAAGTTATTCCTAGTTAAGTTGTTCTGTACATCTACAGCAAGTGTTGTTAAAGCGTCTACAGTTCCAAAACCTCTTTTGTAGCCAAAACTGGTTTACTGGTAGTAAATTCTCTTTTTGTATCCACCGATCTAATCTAAATTTTATAAGCCCTTCTAGTGAACGTTTCTAAACTGCTAATGCTTCTTTTCTGTTATTAATTATCAGATCACATTCTGGGTCCCATCCTGGCGGAGGGGATCGATTTTTGAATTTAAAAATTTGTATTGAGGAATAGATTTAATAGCAGCATCATTAATGCAATCTATTAGAAAGTTATAATTTGTAAAAGTATTAAGGGAGCTACTTTTATTGGAAAACATGTTTTCAATTAAAAATGTATACAGGGACCAATTGGCCTTTTTGATATCCCATTTGCTTTTTGGATAAATTGTTTCCTGCAATGTGTTGGTTGTTGAAAAATTCATAGCTATTTCAAAATGATTGGAGCCTAAGGTGTCAATAGAACTGACCAGGTAATTGTTCATATTTAAAACCATTTAAATTATATTTTTCGGAAACTAAACGCTACGGGCTGGAAACGCAACGTGCACGATAATATGCCACGACCTTAAGAGCATTATTCAAATTGCTTATAATAAATATTAAAAGAAACGGCAAAATATTTTACAAAAAATAGTAACTGAACATACATCCAGATTTTTCGAATTTATTGATGCCATAGGTCCAAGTTTTAAATGTCCTAATAAATGGTAAATATAATATAGATATTATATTTACCACTTTACCATGTTTTTAATTAAAGAATTTATTATACGCTTAAAAATGAAATTTAAAACATACCTGATATTTGTATAAAAATACTATTATTCCAAATAATATTTATAATTATTTCCTCAGTACACAAAAAATAATTTCATTTTAAAATTTAAGTGATAATAAATAGCACCTCAAATACAAATCACTTTTAACAGCTTGAGGACAATTTGATAATTTTTAATAAAATTTTTCGGAGTGAATCAGTTCAAATATAATGACCTTAATTATCTAATCTATAAGAAAAACCAATTGTCCCCGTTTAAAACATATTTTTAAAAGTAAATATTTTTTATACTTTAGACCACGTTAAAAACCAATAACTGTTTAAGATACATAAGTTCATTAACAGAACTTGAATTTTGATTCATTGAATTGATTTGAAATTCAATTAATCTTAATTTCGTGATTCCTTAATT